CTGGGCCCGCCAGAGGATCTGAGGAGTCTGGCGGGCCAAATAAACACTAAGAAATCTCCTCGTCTATTGCTGCCTGCCACACTTTTCTGTGCTAACCAGAGCCTCTCCTTCTCTGCATTCATCGACTCAGGCTGTGAATGTAACCTTATCGATTCTAACCTCGTCCAGCAACTCCAAATTGATACTATTCCTCTGGCCCAGCCTCTCTGTGTATCCGCTATTGACGGAAGAAGACTTCATCAAGTTACCCACCAAACTCAGCCCCTCGAGCTACTTCTGTCAGGTAACCACCGAGAGACTATAACATTTTTTGTTTTTCCCTCTGCATGTTCTCCGCTGGTGCTCGGTTTCGAATGGTTGGAGAAGCATAATCCTCACATTACCTGGACTAAACGTCACCTGGAATCATGGTCCATCTCATGCCACGAGACATGCCTTCGTTCTGCTGCCCCCTTGGTGGGGTCTCCTAGAGGTGGGGGGGAGATGGACTCTCCTGACCTTTCTTCAGTTCCCTCTGAGTACCATGATCTTGCCCCTGTCTTCAGTAAGGTCAGTGCGACGTCCCTACCTCCACACAGACCATACGATTGTGCCATTGAACTTCTACCTGGTGCTCCTTTACCTAGCAGTAGATTGTATAACATTTCTAAGCCCGAGAGAGAAACAATGGAAAAGTACATCAACGAATCACTAGCTGCTGGAATAATTCGCCCTTCATCTTCTCCATTGGGCGCCGGGTTCTTCTTCGTGGGAAAAAAGGAATGTTCCCTGAGACCTTGTATTGACTATCGAGGTTTGAACCAGATCACTATTAAAAATAAATACCCACTGCCTCTTCTCGCCTCTGCTTTTGAGCCCGTACAGGGGGCTACTGTATTTTCTAAACTGGATTTAAGAAACGCTTATCATCTCCTTAGGATCCGTGAAGGCGACGAGTGGAAAACTGCCTTCAAAACACCCTTGGGCCAATTCGAATATCTGGTTATGCCCTTTGGTCTAACCAACGCTCCAGCCTGCTTCCAGGCCCTCGTTAACGATGTTCTAAGAGACTTTCTCAACGTATTTGTTTTTGTGTACATTGATGACATTCTCATTTACTCCAAGGACCTCGATGAACATAAAAGACATGTCCGTCTTGTTTTACAGAGACTGCTGGAGAATAAACTGTTCGTGAAAGCCGAGAAGTGCGAATTTCATCAACCATCAGTCACCTTTTTGGGGTTTGTGCTCGAGGGCGGCCAGGTTAAACCATCAGAGGACAAGATTAAGGCAGTTTTAGACTGGCCAGTTCCAGAGAACCGCAAACAACTTCAAAGGTTTTTGGGTTTTGCTAACTTCTACCGTCGGTTTATCAGAAACTACAGCCAGACCGCCCTTCCTTTAACTTCTCTGACCTCTGTAAAACGCAGTTTTCAGTGGACTCCCGAGGCTCAAGCAGCATTTGAAAAATTAAAGTCATTGTTTTCCAGAGCCCCAGTCCTCATGCAACCTGATCCAGCTAAGCAATTCATCCTAGAGGTGGATGCTTCAGATTCCGGTGTTGGAGCAGTCCTTTCCCAGAGACTAGACTCTGATCAGAAGATACACCCCTTTGCTTTCTTCTCCCGTAGGCTTTCTTCCGCTGAGCAGAACTATGATGTGGGTGACCGAGAACTCCTGGCCATTAAACTGGCACTGGAGGAATGGAGGCATTGGCTGGAGGGAGCTGAGCACCCGGTTCTTGTTTGGACAGACCACAAGAACCTGGCTTACATCCAGTCAACAAAACAAGCTAATCCTCGCCAATCCAGGTGGTCAATCTTCTTTTCTCGGTTCAATCTAATCATCTCCTACAGACCCGGATCCAAGAACGTGAAGCCCGATTCTCTCTCTCGTCTCTACTCCGTCGATCATCCCGAGACACCTGAACCTGTCCTTCCGGCTTCATGTACAGTTGGAATGGTCAACTGGGAGATAACTGACCTCATCAACTCAGCCCTGGCCACTGAACCCGATCCAGGTAACGGTCCATCTAATCGTACATATGTTCCATCTTCTGTCAGGTCCCGTCTCATCCAGTCGATGCATGCCGCCAAATTCTCTGCTCATCCAGGAGTCAGTAGAACAGTAGCTCTCATCTCCAGACGCTTCTGGTGGCCCACTCTCCACAGGGACGTAAAGGAGTATGTGTTGGCTTGTCCCACATGTGCCCATAACAAAGCCTCACACCAACCTCCTTCTGGCCTGCTTCAACCACTTCCTGTTCCCTCGCGTCCCTGGTCCCATATCGCCATTGATTTCGTCACCGGTCTCCCTGTCTCTCGAGGTATGTCTACCATATTTACTTTTGTTGACCGCTTCTCGAAGTCCTGCCACCTTATTCCCCTCAGAAAACTTCCCACGGCCTTCCAGACTGCCCAGCTTCTCATCAAGCATGTTTTCCGGTTACACGGCATTCCCCAAGAGATCCTCTCGGACAGAGGCCCGCAGTTCATCTCCCAGGTCTGGAAGGCATTCTGTTCTGCTCTCGGCTGCAAACCCTCTCTCACCTCTGGTTACCACCCCCAATCGAATGGTCAGACTGAACGCATGAATCAGCAATTGGAATCCACCCTTCACTGCCTCACGTCTAACAACCCCGTGGATTGGAGCCAATTTCTGCCATGGATAGAATACGCCCATAACTCCCTCAGATCTGCATCCACTGGACAATCCCCATTTCAGGTCAGTCTCGGCTATCAACCACCTCTTTTTCCCGCAGACGAGAGAGAGATTTCGGTGCAGTCCGTCAACCATCACATCCGCCGTTACCAAAGGATCTGGAGGGAAACCATCGCCACTCTCAACCAGTCATCAGAAGCGACTAAGCGCTTCGCCGACGCCCGGAGACGTCCCGCCCCCGAGTACGCCGAAGGCCAGGAGGTATGGCTGTCCACTCGAGACATCCCCCTCAAGGAATCTCCCCTAGATTCATCGGACCCTACAGGATCACTCGAGTCATCAACCCTTCAGCCGTCCGTCTCCAATTACCTCAGTCCCTCCGGATCCACCCCACCTTCCACGTGTCCCAGATCAAGCCTGTCTCCTCGAGCCCTCTGTGCCCTCCGTCCGACTCCCCACCACCCACCCTGGAGGTCGATGGACATCCGGCCTTCACGGTTCGCCGCATCGTGGACTCCCGTCGACGAGGTCGCGGATGGCAGTACCTCGTCGACTGGGAAGGCTACGGACCGGAGGATCGCCAGTGGGTTCCGGGCTCGTACATCCTCGATCCTGCCCTTATCGAGGAGTACGAGCGCTCCTGCCCATCAACCTCTTCTGGACCGCCAAGGGGCGGTCGTTGAGGGGGGGTACTGTTTGGAGCTGGAGAAGTTCCACCTATCTCCAGCAGAGTCCGCCGTGGATCCTCTGAGGGAGCCTCTTGCACAGCTGTAGCTCGTCTAGATCATCAGAGGATCCACTACTTAAGCTGTCTTCAGACCTTGCCTCAACGCCGCAGTGTTGTTCCAGTTGGTCAGCGCTTAAGCCTAGATCCTCAGAGTAAATCTATGACTTTTGAATCCAGCTTGGATTCTAACCCCTGTGTCTGTTTTCCAGGAAACCTGTGCCTCCTCTGTGAAAGCTCTGGAAGAGCTAACCTGCCGAGCCGACCCTCTGAGCCAAACCTGAAGATTCACAGAGAACCTCCAAGCAGCTCTGGACTTGAGCTGGGTAACCCAAAGCCAAGGTCTGTTCTAAGTAGACGTGAGACGCTGAAGCAGCTACGTACTCTGCTGATGAACTCTTCTCCTGAACCAACAGTGACTCTCCCAAAGCTAACCTCAAGAACCCTCAAGGTACAATCAGTAGACTTCTGGAAATCCAACCTCTGTTGGCAACGCTAACTGAACTGTCTCTCACGCAGACTCCGGTGAACCAGAATCCAGGCCCCGAACCTGAACCAGAATATTCAGTGTGTTTGTGCAAAATAAAACTGTTAAACTTTCATCCTTGTGTCCGTCAGTGGTGTTCTGCATTCTTGGGTCGCTTTCAGTGAACCCATCATGACAATTTGTCTCTGTATCCCGGCATCCTGGTTGCCAGATCCTTTTCTGTATCTCTACTGTTATCAAATTAAAAAATTTCTTTAAGTTGCAATTTTAAATACATTTTCTTTTTATCATTGCATGAATTTAAAGTTCAAGTTCAGTTCCTGTGGCCACTTTTCTTCCTGGCAACAGCTAATCAATCCTTTAGATGGTGGCAGGCGGTGTTAATCACTTTTTAATTTCATGTGCTATACTCCATACTAAATGCATTAGGGTTGGGGTTGCAATGTAACTGCCTTATTATTTAGTACTATTATTTGTCCTTTAAAATCATTAACTGAATATCAAAGAAACATTTTATTCAAAATAAGCTTCCTTAATCAGGTTTAAAATACAAGGCAAGAAATTACAAATAATTACCCCATGGGCTGATACGTCCATAAAAAAACAACCTCCCTATTTTTCACAACCCGATATTGGCAGTTATGTATAATCTACTGTACCTATAGATAGATAGATAGATAGATAGATAGATAGATAGATAGATAGATAGATAGATAGATAGATAGATAGGTCCAATGTTTCAATTACAATAAACACAATATACTCATATACAGCAACCCAAAAGAAAGAAGAAAAAAAAGACACCAGGCCTCTGAACATCAGTTCAACATCTACTGAACCCGCCTCCTTCATTTTATTTCTCCTGGGTGAGCCAAATGCTCATCTTTGCCTGACCAAACAGAAAATTAACCAAACAAATACTGTGTTGTAAACCAGCCACCACTAGATAGATAGATAGATAGATAGATAGATAGATAGATAGATAGATAGATAGATAGATAGATAGACTTTTTTCTGTAAAATTAATACATTTATTCTGCACCACCTTGCAATCACCTATAAGTTTAGTTTGAGCCCCATCCTTCACCAGTAGAAAATCCCATAATCATGGTAAAGCAATAAGCTCCTCCTCTTGCCCCGCCCACTTTGTGGGGCACTGATCACCCCTCATAGCGGAGGCAGCGCTGCTCTGTCCTCCTCAGACAGCGGACAGAACCTGCCGGATGTACCGATGGCTTTGCTCCCTGCTCACTTCCCGGTGATGTTGGCGTGTGTTTCTGCTTATTGGTGCCATCCTGCCGGCGGTGTGTCCGGTCAGAGCGACTGACCGTGGATGTTTGGCAGCAGGGAAGCGCTCCGGCTTGGCTTGTTTCTTCAGGCATTAACGGCGCTTTAAAAACACCTCCACCAGTGCTGGAGTGAGAACCGACTGGTAAGTTGAGTTTGGCCACTGATGTGGGCTCAATGTCTGCATCATGCTGACCTCAGTTCAGATTATTTTAAAATAAAAAGAATAAAAGACACTTGTTTATTACATATGGGTTAAATTAGATTGAATTCGCTTCGTTTTGTATACAAATAAAAAAGAAAAAAGTGCTGAAAAGAAACTCATTTTAGTTCTGCTTTTTTATGAGCAATTTTCATTTCTATTTTTATTATTGCATCGTAAGTTAGGAGCGCGCGCACATCTCGCGTCATTAACACGTGGATGAGCAGCGCGCGCACACAGAGAGGCGCTCCCCATTCACAGTCTTAAACAACAATCATTTACAGAGAAAACCCACGAGAATTATTTCGTTAATGAATAAACACTCAAATGTAACACAAAGTGCTTGTTTAGTCAAGTTAATGGAACAATATTCTCTAACCCGCAAGCCTTAATTAGTTGACTGTTATTATTTATTGGATGGATAAAATAACAAAATATAGACAGATTGCAATCAGTAACAAAGAAAAAAAAAACACACAAAACAAGCACACAAAAAAACCCAAAACAAAAAATAAAAATGTTACTAAATATGACTTTTTTTGTCAATGTCTTTTTTATACATTACTTCCTTTACCAACGTATTTAGATATTTACACAGAATGTAATTACAAGGCGTTGTTTTGTAATTTGTATGTAGACGAAAAATTAATACATAAAAAAACAACTTTAAAAGCCTTTATATTTTACTTTAACTTTACAAAACTAATTAATGCATGTTCAAGAAACGTTAAGCTTTTTTTCAATGCACACAAAAAGCACTTTTGGTGTTATGGGACATTTCTTTCAACATCAATTAGAGAGAGTTAAGAATAACAAAAGATCAGATCCATTTATTTTCCTTTCATGTCTGCTGCAGTGATTGGGATTTATTAATTTGGCATTAAAAGCGTCTCTGAGTAAAATATATGACAGCAAAAACAAAAGGGCTAACTTGCCATGTCATAGTAGGCGACATTTAATTCACTCCCTCTCTCTTCTCTGTTCTCAGCATTTGCAACATTTAAGATGTCAGGTTGGTGTCTGTTTAATACGTTCTTAAAACTTTGCTTTAAAATAAAAAATACTGGACTTGTTATATTTCATAAGGGATTTGAAAGAAACACTATATTGAGTTTTAAAGAATAAGCCTTATTTCCTTGCCTTCTGTTTTTTTTATTTAGGGTCACCAGATTATTTCTGTTAGCCAGTTGCCAGAATAAATATTATTTGATCAAAAATAACTTTATTGCTTTTTAGGAGTCAGACGTTTGCATATGTCTGTCTACCTTCAAGTGATTTTGGAACAACGCGATTATGCTATGGGTTTGCTGATACGTAGGTTTACAAGTTAGATACATGGATTTGGATGTATTTTAAAGAAATCCCTCAGAAGGTAAAGTCTCTATGATCCTTGGGTATTTTTTAGACACCTGAATTTCTCACCTGTTGACTCAATATATCAAACCACATTACAGTTCAGAAAGTAGAAGGTCCTCCATGCAGCATCCTACAACATCCAAACTAGGCCCTTGAAGTATGTTTTTGTTGGACTGGAAACAAGTCCAGAGGGACTTGTAGAGATAAGCTTGGAACATTCAATCAAAAGTTTATCAGCAGCATTTTGAGCAAGTTACAGGAAATCAACTTTGTTTTGTTAAGACTAGTGATGAATGAATTTAGAAACTCCTATGCAAGAGAAAATGAATAAAAAAAATTGCAATACCCATATTTGCAGTGGATATTGGAGCATTCAGTTTGTTTGATGCTAAAAACAAGAATAACGTTTGGTATACATTCAAATATGGGCCAATGATTTTTAATGGTAGTTTAATGTGTGAGAAAAAAAAATGTGATTCAAAAACAGTCTGAGGAACCAAGGCAGACATTAGAACATCCTACAGTCTTTCAAATTCACCAAAAAGTAATAAAGTTGTTGGTTTCATCAGTATAGCAGTTATAGCACATGTTCCCTATCTTAAAAGGTTATATAAGGAAAGAGAAGAAAGCAATAAAAAGGGGCCAAGGAAAGAACAATGTGGAACCCCATGGTTCATTTGGAATGGGAGAATATTCGTGTCCAGTCGTAGAATCTAAATGCTAGGCTCTTGTATGTGTTGGCTAATATGTGTGATTTAGTCCCTTTATGCTGATAATATAAGTGGTAGGAAGAAGAACAAGGTTCATCAACCTTGGACGTCTTGTGCAAAACATTACCTATTGTCACTCTTGTGCATAACACATGCCAACTACTGTGTAGCCTGTGTAATATTTCACTTATTTTATAAGGTCAGTACATCTCTGCAGTACACTAAGTGCAATAATCCAAGTCAACTGTGTAGACTTTCCTTAGCTCTCTACTTGCTGGTTTTTTATATTTAAAGGAAACACGTTCCATGACATTACAACTTTTTATAATTTTTGTTTGTACAATACACACTCTTTTTGTTTTGTCTGTTGTATTCTTATCTTTAATGGCATCTTGCTTTAACTCTGCCCGTTGTACTCTACTGGAACCAGAATCTCCCTGAAGGAGTAATCCCAAGGGATAAATAAAGTTAAGTTTAAGTCTAAATGCAGCAGTATATTTGACTACGTCCAAAATCCTGTGGGCTGCTCTGCTGCTTGCATGAATTAGAAAGACAGAAGTTTCAGGAAATGTTGGTTTGTCACAGTTTTCTGAAGTGATCTAATGAAGAACAAGAATTTTAGTCGTGTTTTTTCACATTAGGTTCGGGAGCCAGTTGTCAAGTCTCTAATTTCACTTTCAGGTTTTTTCCTCAGCTTTCATGACATTTTACTAAAAGGTTAAGAAAAACAACCTCCTGTTGAATTCCTCTGTGTGTTTCTGAGCTTTGTCTCTTGTGAAACCTCCCGTGCTTCCAGACTTCACTCTGCTTGAATAAGTAGATCACTTTCTACCGAGCCACGGCATCAGCAACCTTCCCTCGGTTTTGCGTTTTCACTCGTCTTGTATAATGAACTGACTGGTGGCGTTCTGACGATTCGGCTCTCATCCAGTGTTGTGAGAGCAAGTTCCGAGCCGTCGTTCTACTTTTCCATGTGGATCGTGTTCCCAGTTAGTGATAGTGGAGAGGGAACCAGACCCCTGTGGAATCCCATTGGAGTGGGCATAGCATGAGGAGATTTGTGATCTTTTACCACCTGTTGACAGATCCTGTAAAATGCATTACATTTTCCTCCTCTTCGAATAAATTCTGGGCTGCGGTGCAACTCTGCTGCTCTGGTCCTCTAATTGCTGTTGACCCTCACTGCGTTCGTTTGATTGGCATTGAGCTGCGGTTTCTCCAATGCACAGTAGACTTTTTCTGTAGCGACAGCTTGTGCATAATTCTCCCTCCTCCGCTCTGTGCAGCTTCACTCCTGCCCAGCCTGGGGTATAAATAACTACATGGAAGAAGCAAATCTCAGCTAAAGCCCAGTGCTCTGTGGTATATCAGCACTTTGGGCAGGGCCAGTCTGGGATAATATGGTTCACTTATCATCTTTACCTCTGGTGATGTTGAGTGAGTTTCCCTAGCAGCCAGTTTCTATCTCTTTCTTTTTTTTTTTTAAAGCAAACTGATGCATCAAATGTGAATTACAGATCCTCTGTTTCTCATTTTAGCAACATAAACATGCTCTTTAATATAGCAGGACCCCTAAAAGGTACAGAAACAAAGAGGCTAACAAAAGAAATAATATACAGTGATTAGAACAGAGCAATTGTTGACCTCTAATTAACATGGGGGCACACAAACTCCATGCAGAAAGGCTGGATATTGAACACAGGACCTCCTCGCTGCAAAGCACAGCCAATGCAGCCCACTTGGGCAAACATTTAGTAAAGCTCGGTGAGTGAATATTTGTGACACGTACCAAACTGCTTCTCACAGCAGCTGTTTTTTTTTTCTTCTTTATAGTCCTGCAGGAAAAACACTTCGGTTGACAAGAACAGGAAGGGACAAAAGTGTGAACTATGAAATGCAATAGTGTGAAACGTTAAGCCCACAGCTGCTTCATCTCAGCTGACAGGTATTAATACAAGGCCTGGGCTATTAATTGATTTTATCAATTAATCTGTTTTTTTGTTTTGTTTGTTTGTTTTTAACCAATCCACTCCTTGGGCTTCCATAGTTCAGAGTGACATAAGTTCATCACTTTTTGTTCTTAGATGTGTACTTATAACAGATGAATTATCTCACATTATAATATTGCTGCAAACACTTAGTCTTTTATATTTTGATTGTGTGTTTTGAAACATGGTTTCACAGCTCAAATGTCATTGCCCTTTAAATAAAGGTCACCTTTTAGAGGGGATGGTTGAAGTCAAAGCTAGTTTTTTAAAGTACTATATCACATTTGTCATTGATTTTATAAAACTTATACAAGAAAATAAGTTGACTAATCATATTAAGTAGGAAAAAGTATGACATCAGATTTTTAAGCCATGTCGCCCAGCTCTAATATATACAGAAGCAAATTTCCATTCATTTTTTTAAAGCTGTCATTTCAACTTACCTTTTAGTTAAAATAAACACAAAACAACCTCAGATTTTAATGTCAATTTATGCTCTTAAAAACAGCCAAACATACTTTCATCACCAGTAGCCATGAAGACGAGGAGTAATTTGTATGTAGGAGCCATGGATGGATGAATATGAGATGAGGTGAGGTTATTTCACCCCCCCTCAGGGCCCCTCCAGTCACACGGCAGGAGGAAGCACGACCAGGCCTGCAGCTCGGAGGCCGTTCCACCTGAATGCTGAAACAGCAGAGAGACAAGTCCTGCAGTCTGAGACATGACACCTAAGCATCCACTGAAATCCTTATATATATATTTGTATATATTTCTGTTATATAGTGCATAAAGGTTGATCTCAGATTTATAGATGCTGCTTTTTGACTAGATCTGTACCATAACCATCAGGTTGTTGTTTTTTGCTGCCTCTTTGACAGTGACTTTAGGGACATAAAGAAAAACAGGTTAGAGAAATAGTAAAAAAAAAAATGCAACAAAAAGTATGGAGGTCATTTTTCACCCATGTTTTCATTTCCAACCCTATTATGTCTCGTGTCTATACAGGTCTTATTCCTATATAGCCACTGGTACATTCATCTAGCCTAATTAAAAAAGCTTGCATCATTCTAAGCCTTATTTAACACACAATTATGCCTTAGATTTTAGATGGTATAAGGCTGAATTGGTGATAAAATGTTTGTTTTTTTCTGTCTATTCTCAACTATTGTCTTTCTATATCCAGCCTGAATTGTTTAAAAGCCTGTAATAAAGCAGTCATCTGAAAGTAAGCAAACATACATATCTTGATAATCATAACTGACCTAAAACAGGGAAGGTTTAGTTTGATTTAATGTACTTTTTCTGTAAATAACTCTATTTTGCAGTCTGGTCATGGGCCAACATGATTATAGCCTCTTTGTTGGTTACAAGGTTGGTAAGAAATTTCATAATTTTCCAAAATCTTGGTCTATGAATGTTGAATAAAAGTGTCACAAGACTGGAGCCTTGGGGAACTCCACGTGTCATTTTAGTCTGTTGTCAAATACTTTGTCTGTCATACAAAGTATGGTGATTATAATAGACAACACTAAGATCAAGGTACACCAGTACAGAGATTTTAGATGTATTTAAAATGTTAAAACTGATTAATTGCTTTGGCTTGGTCAGAAAACTGATGGTAGGCAAATGTAGAGATTGTTTTTTTAATGATCTTTGCCAAAAATGCCAGGCTTTCTACAGGTCTGTTATAATTTATTTATTCAGGAAGAATTTTAATCAGTGTATTTTTTTAGGGCCTGAATTTATGATTAAACTGAAAACAATTTAGTTTAAAAGATCAATAAAATTGTGTCTTGATGTCTTTCAGGAGCTGTCTGGTGGGCCCTACTGTGCTATGGTTCTAAGAACCTGAAGTTTCTCCCTTACAGAAAGCTTTTTAATCCCATCTTGAATCCTACGTGATTCCTCGATGGGTTCCCGTAGCCAGAGCTTCTTCCATAACCACCATCACCACCACCATCGCAGCTCCATGGTGCCCGCCACAGTGCCAAGGCTGCTGCAGGAGACTGGGAGTCTGCTGGGGGGCATTGCTCAAATCACACCAAACCTCTTTCTCAGCAGAGGGAATGTAGCTTCCAACCGCAGCCTGCTTCTATCCAAAGGAATCACCTGCGTGGTCAACGCCACTATCGAGCTGCCCAACTTCAACTGGCCACACATGGAGTATGTGAAGGTCCCGCTGGCAGATATGCCTCACTCGCCCATCTCCTTGTATTTTGACAGCGTGGCCGACAAGATCCACAGCGTCGGACGCAAACGAGGTGCTGTGCTGGTGCACTGCGCGGCCGGGGTGAGCCGGTCGGCCTCGCTGTGCCTGGCGTACCTGATGAAGTACCACCGCGTGTCTCTGGCTGAAGCCCATGCTTGGGTCAAGGCCCGCCGTCCTGTCATCAGGCCCAATGGGGGCTTCTGGCGCCAGCTGATCGATTATGAGAGGAAGCTGTTTGGCATGAACTCTGTTAAGATGGTGCAGACGCCCTATGGTATCATGCCTGATGTTTACCAAAGGGACCGCAGGACCCTCGCTCCTTACTGGGGCCTGTGAACGTCTGTGCTGCCCGTCCGTTCACAGTGAGGGATTAAGGTGACTTTAATCCGCAGTCCTGGCAGGCTGAGACCTGTTCCTGTCAGGTGAAGTAAGATGTGTGATTGTAGATGTTTCTGAAGCTTATTTACCGAAAAAGAACAAAGGAAATTTAACCAAACGATGTTGATCGATGGTGCTGCTGTTTAGCCTAGGAGTTTGAAGCAAAGCAACTTAAAGCCTAAAATACGTCAACCCCAATGATCCGATGGTACCATGCTGGACTTAACACCCACAGATTTAGAAGATTTAGAAGATTTTAAAGGTTCTGTTTCCTGGTGTGCTGTCCCCAGTGCCAGAGAAGACAAGCAATGCTGAGGGGGTGTTTAATGTTCCCGAGCCCCTGCAGCTCTGACAGTGATGTCCCTTTCCTGACGTGGTGTCATGTGGTGATATTGTGTCAGTTTCCCAGTGATATTTAATGTGAAGGGCAGCAGCATGCTCTGAATTAATGGTAGCATTAAAGAAAAGTCTGCAGAAAAATAAAACACAGGCAAAATGTTCTGTTGCTATATACTGATATTGGGGGGGATAGGGGTGGGTGGGGGCTTATGGAGCACTTTATCCAAACGTTCAAAGATGTTGTGTCTATCTTTTTAGGAAGGAGAAATGTAAGGAAATGTGTGAGCTAGAGATGAAGGTTTAGCAAAAGCTCCTGTGTAACACAGGGTTGACCTTTCCATCCTGTTACCACACTATGTTATTGTAGTGCTATTGATGCTGTAATAAAAAGGAATATCTACTGATTTAATGAAGGAATATGTTTGTGGTGAATATTTCTATCCAAACCTACAGGACTTGGATCCACATCAACTGTGTTTTTTTATTAAAGTTACAGAGGTGTAAGAAAATCTCCCATTTTAAGACGAGCTATAAAAACAAGTATCCTGTGCAAATGAACTGACTTACAAACATTAGAGGTCTGTTGCAAATTTGACTTTATTTCTCGAAACTTGAGCCACTGATAATGTGATGCATGTTTTTACTGTTTCAGTGAAAACTAAAGAAATCAATTAAGATACCAAGCAATGATAGAAAAAGCTGATCACATAATTCTCCACACCCCTTAAGGTTCACATCTTCCACCTGTTATAACAAAACAACTGCTATACTGATTAACTAATTGATCTAAAATATAGTTCCCATGTTTTACCCGGATTCTACCGTCTCTAAAGTCACAGTGTGCAGAGAGGTCAGTACAAAAAGGAAACAGGGGGTCACAGGACACCAAGTGGGGGGCTGGGATGTTTCACAATCATTGTGATGTGATAGCTGAGGGATGAGATGGGATGGTTCAATAAATAAATAAATGTGAATGTGCCATGAAATACATAAATGAACCATCAAATAAAAAATGTTTTATTAAGTCCTTTACAGTATCTAAAACCTGATTTCAACAGTAAAAATAGCATAACATTGTAAAATGCACAATAAAAAAATACATGTCGGCTTTAGTTTAGTTATAAAAAAAATGCAATTAGTATTATGAATGAAATAAGTAAATGTCATTCAAGAACATTATTTTTAAAACAAGTTTTACTTTTTTAAGTTGATATGTATGATTTATTTTTTTGGGGTGAAGTAATTATATATATATATATATTTATGTGTATATACATGTGTATATATATATATACATATATATATATATTTATTATTTATTTTTTTTTTTTGGGGGGGGGGGGGTCATAGGCAGAAATGTGTGGAAACCCCTGCTTTACATCATACTTTGTCACAACAGTGAGGACTCTTATCAATGCGTGGATGGGTCAACAGTGGTGTTACTAAAGCTAAAATGATGGCAAAGATCAGATGGAAGCTGTAGAGGAAAGCTGCAGGCATTTCAGGTTGTGGTTTTCGTGTTGCAAAAACTTTTTTCTTTCTCTCTATATATATTTCTGCTCTAAGCAGTTGGAGAATAACAGAGAAGTGTTCTCTTAAGAAAACATTAACGAATCTACAGTAAAACATGGTGGTGGTAGGATACTGCTGTGGGGATGTTTTACTTATGCAAATGTGTCAGAGTAGATTGGAAGGCGAGGGAGCAAAATATATTATTGAAAGAACTGGGGGTATAATAGAATGGTATAAAACAAAACAGATTAATTTTGAAATAGAAATTAGATGGTCACAGATAATCTGAGTAAACTACAATTTATTTTTCAAAAAAAAATGTCATAAAAGAATAATTGTCTTCTATATTTCATTAAATAATACTGAGTCCAAGAGGATAAATGCATTCGCGTGCCACATTTCTAGAATAAATTAAAGGAATTTTCTGTATATTTATAAATATGTTAATGTGCTGCAGCGGATAAAACAAATCTTAGTAAAATATATAAACAATTCTGGCTGTAACATGTCATGTGATTAGGTTCTGCACGTTTACAAGGGATTTCAAAAAGGCCTTAAGAAAAAAAAGACCTCAACTCAATGGTAAAAGTCGATTTTTTTCAACAACCGTTCATTTTCCCCTTAAGAGCAGCGCTTCACATTTCCATTAGCAGATCTCTCCCAGTTCCTTTGGGAAAAAAGTTGCGAGCGTAACACAAAGTTCATCAAAACACTGAAAAACCCCACAGAGTTTGGATTCTCTTGTATTTAATTATTTCTGGTATATGCCTTGAATTTAATTAGTAAAATCAGCCACACACTGATTTACAAATTATTTTATCTATGATTTGACTTTTTATAGTCTATGGTGCTAAAAGATAAAACCTACCTCACTATCGGTGTATTAGTATATCTTTTTTAAATGGGCTTTATATACATTTTCTACACTTTTTGCTCTATAGAAATATCCCCTGAGCTGCTTCAGTGTCAGTCTGGTATACATAGAGTATTAACTGCATATAAAGAGTCTATCCTACCTAGCCTGCACTTACAAATGAGGCTAAATGTGCTGAAAATGAGCTCAGTAATCTTTTGAGCCATGTGCATTTTAATGAAGCGCTCCTCTCTAAAATCTTCCTCTCCAGTTGTTTTGATGCTCTTTGTGCTTCTATGAAAAGTCACAGCCATTAGTCATGTAACCACAATATCAGATATATTATTTCCATGGATATTTTTTCCACAGAGTCTGTGGTCTTAGATTTCAAAACAACAAAAACCTATTGTGGGAACGATGAGGTTTTGTGTTTCTTTTTAAGTGAAACTAAACTTAATAAAAAGCAATTCTTTTTTGGCTCTTTGGTCAGTAAAATATTTTATCTTAGACTTATTTCTACATCGAATAATATAGTAAGTAGGAAAAGATGTTTTAAATTGATGATTTCATATATTTTTATATTTGTATTCTATATCTATAAAAGAGTTGTGAGACCCATGTGGACCTACAGTATGTAAAAAAGAACCCACCCCCCTTTTATGTTATAAATTAATCTTATAAATGAAGTTATGCTTTTTTGTGCATTTTCCCATCCAGGCCTGATTGCTGCCAGACCTGCAGAATTGGCATCATTAAACAGAACATTTCTGACAGTATGAAGTAGGCTAAAATATCTAAAATGTTAAATCATCATGCACTCCAGAATGTCAGTCTGGAGTACATGATTCAATCCTAACAGTGATTCTGGGAATAATGTCATCCGTAGGAGAGTTAGAAGATTAAATCACTGCTGACGAACCTCATAAACACTTATTTCACACAAATAACCAAACAAATCTTTATGATCCTAGAGACTTTGGAAAAGAAATTCATGAGACAGTGGAGACAAAATGGGTCTCATTATATCTAGCATAAAGCGAAACATCTTATAAAGGTGTATGCTTTTTAAACAAATTTCCTTTCTTGTTATAAGTGCATTGAATTTCCACAACAGAATGATGTGCCTGTAATTTATAGTAAAATTTAAAATGAAATACCCGGTCCTAGATAAGTAGAAGATGGCGAGTAGAAGTAAAAGGTACAAGGGAGACCGAGTGATATGTAATGGTTGGAAAGGCTCAATCAAAATGCAGATTTAATCCCAAATTAAGAATGCACATTTAGAATTGAAAATCTACGATCATAGGTTTCCATCCCGTCTTAATGTGGTTTCAAAAATGCTAATCCCATTATACAAATTTTTGTGTTTAGCATAACATACTCCAAAAGACTTTGTGCTTTAATTTCTGCGAAAAAAAGAAAAATCTCAACTTCTGCTCTAAAAATGTAAACTACTTTATGTTTGTCCGTCACCAAAGATTGGAATAAAATTGCTTGATGATGTGATCAAATGTAGACATGTTCAAGGAGTTTAAAAATGTACGCAAAGCACTGCAACAGCAAATACCAGCTTTGATTGCTCAGAATTTACATATGACAAAAAAAATACATATATCTTCGGATACATTTTTAAAAGCTTTTCTTGAAGCCGTAAATGATCAATTATCCAAAAGCAGACAACAGTTTTAGTGTCATCTTCCCTTTTTTAAAAGTCTGCTTGGAGGCGTCTCTGAGAGGTTTCCGCATGAACAGATTGCAGTTATTTCCCCCTTCAAGCGCCTCTTGATGTTCACGCTGCACAGATGTTTCCCTCCCAGGAGAGGTCTTCATATGTCAAAGAAGTGTTCTGCCATTCATTTTCATTTGCCGTGGTTACAGAGCAGGAGGCACAAATTGATGAACACCATTCGTCTTGTGCCCGTACTTGTGAGAGACCTCTGGAGTCGTCCACACAGTGAATTCCATCATCCACGGAGACGAGGACTGTCTGATGACGTTCACAGAGATGGTCCAAATGATGGCTCCAAATTATACACTGCAGACATTTTTTTTCTTCCAACAGAAAAATAAATCCCTTTCTGATGTCCCCTTTTCACTGCTTCAGGCAGTGTTGATGTGAGCGCAGGCAGGTGCTTTAAGTAAACACATCCTTTACCAACACAGAAAATATTACCATCTATCATTCAAGCAGCAGAAAGAGCCATTTATGAGCAGCAGACCGGCCTGGACTCAGCATCACTGTCAATGTGGAGCAAACAGCACTAGACTTGATGAAAGCAAGAAACCTCATATATAAGCCAGCTGCAACACAATGATGTTGGCAAACATGTTTGGACTGTAAAATCTGGTTAATTAAATGTGTTATACAGTATTATAATTATTCAGATGCTTAATGTTGCTTTTTAGTGCAGAAATCATAGTTATTCCTGTGTTGGTCTGTTGTTCAGGAAGGTGAACCTTTACAAGACACAGTCATTAGTAACTTTAGCTAACACCCGTTCATAATAATATCAGTTCACAGAGGTGAAGGACAGACAT